TTCGAGATTTGTAATTTGCAAAGGTGGCAATAGTAGAATGCCTTATGTTGGACAGTTTTCGCTATACATATTTCTTTTGTTTATTTAATATTTAATATTAAATATTTTTTTTTTATATATGTCTAGCTAATTATACATACACATAACACCGTGCGACAGGCAATTTTACACACGAAAAAGGTCAATACATTCGCGTAGCCATGGGCTAAATTTATGCAGTAAAATTGCGTTTTTAGCTTTTCTCTCTGACGTCAGGACTTTGAAAATTTAATAATATGAGTATTTGAGAGAATGGTTTAAAAAGTTTAATGCAATGTATTTAGGAAACCAGTGTGGGTTACAAATTAAAGACAAAATTCTGTATAGAAAAAACAGATTATATTTTTTGGTGCATAAGGTGTTGAAAATATCCTTAAAAATTTTATTCTTGAATATCCTTGAAATTTTGCAATATTTAGTTTGAAAAAAAATTATATGTTAAGGACTAATGTAAACTCGACAACGTCTTCGAATAAAGTCCTTCTAATTTTATTAGCTTAAAAAAATAAAATTAATTAAGGACATTTTCAATACCTATTCGTCTTTGTGAACCCAAAAAATTTGATTTTTTTTTAATCCTACGGAATTTTCTCTTTCATTTAGGTACCATTTTTACTCTACATTGCACTAAATTTTTTAAATAATTTTTAGAAGTTATCATATCTAAAGTTCTAATAAAAAAATTCCAAAACTAAAAACGCAGTTTTACTATATTTGGCCCATAGTGTCGTGAGTATATTTATTGCTTGGTGTGTTTTAAAATTTTTTTGTTTCAAACTGTTTCAATCTTTTTACTCAGAATTTTTAAAAAAATTTTAGGTACGCAATTTTATAAGTATAGCCCAATAAATTACAGGAGGATAAAGTGCAAGTTTCAAGTGACTTAAAGTAACGTTGATTTTTTACAATTTTTTGATGGCAGTGTCACGCATTTTCTTCCATACAAAGTATTTTCGACAATTTGTTTATATGGAAGAAAAAGCCCAGCATCGTTTAAAAAATTCCCACAAGTCAGCGGTATTTTGTAACTGCATGCAACTTCATTTTATCCTACTTTAATTTAATAGGCTATAAAATTGCGTACCTAAAATTTTTCTAAAAATGCTGAGTAAAAAGTTTGAAATTTTGGCAAAGTTTTTTGCATTTTCATAATTCTTGTACAAATTTTGAAGTGCGCATTTAGATGCAGTTAATTATATACAAAATGAAGTAGACTTTTATAAAAAAGTTTAAATATTAAATAAAGAAAAGAAATATAGACTAAACTGGTTGAAATAAGGCGTTTCTTTTATTTCTGCCACTAGTATTATAAACTTCTTTCAGCCACACAATATATGTATATGTTGACTTAAGTTTTTTTGCATCGCGTCTGTTTCGACATGCCTTAAGTTACTTTATCAGATATGTACACGCTAAAGTACTGTTAAATGCGTATAAATTTAATAACTGTCTTTTGTTTTGTTATTAATGAAATATTTTTTAACTTAAATAATAAAGTACATTTCGAAACCCATTTATTTATTATTTATTATATGGTAGGACAGCTTCTCAAACTATATTGATGCAATTTTTTGATGTTAAGTTGTTGGAAAATAATGAATATCTAAATCCCGGAACTGATCCCGGGATGTCCCGAAAATCCCGGGATCGTAAAAGTACCCTGCAGGAAATTGAATTAGTTTGAAAGTAATTTATAGACTACTTTATTTTCAATGATATCACAATGGGCCTGATCGGGCCTAAGTGTGCTGGCGCCCTCTGGGACTAGCAGCCACTTCAACCTACCCTACTACTACTAAATTGAATTAGTTTGAAAGTAATTTATAAACTACTTTATGTTCAATGATAACTAATTGAAATTCTCACTATTTTACCTGCAACGAACTCATTTATTTAACATGGTGATGTCCTAGGAAACAGCTAATTGCCTTTTCCTGCATGTATTTTAAACAACTTTAAAATGAATTCGGCTTAAAAAACTTTAAAGTCAGTATGTGTCGTTTGAACACGCTTTCGTTCTGCACTTCACAGATGCTTTTTCATAACTAAGAAAAACCGAAATTAAAAATTTAAAATTAAATGAGATTTGAACATGGAAATTCTTAGCTGCGTCCAATTGTAGCAAACATCTTTGTACGCTCAGCTATAGCAAGACATGTAAATGTGCATTCAAATGTTCAGTTTGAATTGTGTGCAAGCAGCAAGTCGACTGTCCGACTTTGCGTTTAATTTCAACTACTTTAAAATGAATTTGGTTTACACAGCTTTAAAGTCAGTATGTTTCTTTTGAATACGCTTGCGTTCTGGACGTCACAGATGCTTTTTCATACCTCCAAGACACAAATTGGTTTTTTGAGCGAAAAGAGTATACAAATTCGAAATATTTCCTCATTGCATTTGTTTTAAAGTAGTCTTTCAATTAGTTGATTTAAAAAGGAAATCACTTGTTTCCATCAGGGTATTTTCAATGATAACTAATTGAAATTCTCACTATTTTACCTGCAACGAACTCATTTATTTAACATTGCGATGTCCTAGGAAGCAGTCAATTGCCTTTTCTTGCATGTATTTTCAACTACTTTAAAATGCATTTGGCTTAAACAACTTTAAAGTCAGTATGTTTCTTTTGAATACGCTTACGTTCTGAACTTCACAGAAGCTTTTTCATATTTAAAAGACACAAAAAAAAATTATTATCATTTTCACATGTTGCCTCCTTTGGTACTCGAACCCGGATGTTCGGGAAGCTAACAAGTAACAGCAACCATTTCTGCACGCTCAGCTACAGCCAGACATGTCAATGCGCTTTCAAATGTTCAGTTTGAATTGTGTGCAAGCAGCAAGATTTAAAGAGAAATCACTTGTTTCCGTCAGGGTACGTCTGTATATATGGATGTAAGGATCATTTTCAAAGGATACGATAAATGTAATTCTGAAAAACTCTATTCAAAACGTCAATGATAAACCAGTTTTTAGCAGCTTCGCACAGTGTTGCGACTCCAAATACTTATATAAGCTGTTGAAAAAAAAAAAAAATTGTACACGTGATCCGATTTCGCTGAAACTGGACATGTGTTCAAATTTTTCCACGTAATAGAGTCCCTTGTGGACGGAAATGTTAAGTTTGATCCGATGTCGATGAAATTTAAATAATACTCTCTATTTTATATATAAAAAGGGGAAGATTGGCTCACTTTAACAACCAGGAAAAAAATATGAGCCCCACTAACAAATGTGATGGAATTTTGGTTATTTTTAGTTTTCTGCCTTCCACTGTCAGAAATAAAAAGGTTATACTTAAAAAGTAAATATATAAATGAAAAAAGTCACATTTCTCTTATTTTTGAGGTGAGTATTCATGATTTGAAAAAAGCTGAAAATCGAAAAGTTAAGCATATTAAAAATTGCATATACATATGGCCCAAATCGCTCAAAACGAAACCATGGGGAAACATGTTTTTCTCAGGTTTCGCAGATTTTGGATTATATCTGGGTCACACATATTCTAAGTATCGGACAATATCAATACTAACACGAATCTCCTTCTCTTAAACATGAAAATTCACTTAATCCTGAGACACCTTTAAATAAACGACGATTAAAAAAGCACAACATGAAAATAAAGGGAAGTTTATATTTAAGGTCCACCACTTTTTTGCATTATACTTGCCTCTCTTCGCTTGCCTTGTGTTATTTTGAAGTTAATAAAAAAAAGTATTCGACAAAAAAAATCAGCGATTAGCTTTCTATATGAAAATCAAGTCGGCAGCATTTTTTAATGTAATGTAACAGTCCAAAATATTAAGAAGAAGATAAGAATTACGTAGAAAAATAAAAAAACGCGAGAATTATATTATTTCAAAAAGGAACGAACTCAAAAGAAGCGAAATAAGAAGCTGAAAGAAGAATCCGATTAAATAATAAAACATCTATTGAAATTATTTCGGCTATTTTTCTAGTACTACTATTATTCTGCGAAATGCCGAGTCCTCGAATCTAACATTTGAAGGGTAAGAATAGTACTAAATGGCATAGAGCAAACAAAATAAGGCATTAAAGCCGTTTTTCGTGAAATGAAACGCGAAAAACTCAACATCTTGGCGCAGTTCTAAGATCGAGATCGAGTTCTACGCAGAAAATTATTTCGGAAACGACCTACAGCTGCACAGCATCAGAAACTTTGAAATCTGAATTCATAATTATCATGTTTTTAATTTCTTTGAATTACTTGTCACATCGCAAGACTACTGAATTCATGCTATTTATTGCATAAAACGCATTAAAAGCGATTTAAATTCCTAATTATAATCTTATCGCTACACGTACAATATCGTAACAGGCAACGTAACAGTCTTTTCCTGTAACGTACCAGTCCGAAATTTTTTTACAAATATTGACCTCAAAATTAATTTTTTCAGTTCAATTAATACGTAGCTCTTGAACTCCATCCTGAAGTTAGGAAACTGTGTACCAACTTTTGAAAACATTATATTAGGATAGCAGACTTTTTCAATAATATAAAGCAACTTTAAAAAGTACTTCCAAAAATTGCAACAGTCCGTTGTTGAAACATTCACAACTCCTAAACCTCAGGAGTTACAATATATTTTTGTATATATTAAATAATGCCACATACTTATGCTTTCAGATGCAAGAAGAAAAATTATCCGAAAATTGTATTCTCGCGAGTTTCAGCGGTATTTAAAAATCAGTGTGAGCCAAAATGTAATGTAACAGTCCGCGTTTTGGTCCCTAAGTATTTTATACACCTCAATAGATATTAAATTCGCCTGGAATTAATTCTTATTTGATTTGTGAACTTGGCTGTCAACTTATTCACATATCATTTTATCTTTATTTCGATGCGTTCCAATTTTGACATTTATCAGTGCACTTGCACAATATTCGCATTCGCAAAAGCTCCGCATTGATTATTGCGAATGCGAAAGCGAATGCGAATATTAAAATTAATGCGGAAACTCCGCGCTTGCGAATGTGAATGCGAATATTCGCATCAACCCTGGTTCATATATAGATACGTACACATAAAGTGTCTAATAATAAAAAGATATGGGATTATTGGCTCTGGAAAAGTAGTTAGAATGTGAAAATTAATTATGCATCATAAATTTATTCTTTGAAGATCTCTGTTGTATATTGGAAAATATTTACATATTTTCTTCTACGACAACATGCATTGCGTATGGACAACCTCAAAGATCTAGGGGCACGGTTTAATGTTAACCGATTTCCAAATTAAAAAATACGAAAAACCCTCTTTACTATTCTGCCTATTCACGTTAAAAGCGTAATTTCGACGAAATAGAGATTAATCCTCCACAGTACTTATTTAGTTGCATACCCTACAGGGTGTATTCGACCGTTCCACATACAGACCTACTCATGTACACAAATACCTTTGCATTCAGGTAGGTACAAAAACTATTTTTTGAAAAGAAAAATAAGGGCAGAAATGAATGGGCAAATTAAAAATTCGAGAGATTAAACACAGCATCCACCTTAGTCATATTCATCACTGTCAGTCTAAAATAATCTGTCGAGGCTCAAAGTAGTGAACTGAAGTATTTTCGTATTTTAGATTTCGACATTTTGAAGTTAGTAAGGCGAAAAAATGAGTCGGCGTGTTTCTTTTGTGTCAGATAACCATCATAAAGAAAACATGTATAGCAACATATCGTCTGCTCGTGGCTCTGCGGTGATAATGCATAGACTTTCCATTTACATTCCACATTTAATTTCTCCAATGAATGAGCCCAAAAAGGTAACAATTTACATATGTATGTGCATAAAATATGCATGTCTACTGGTATAATATCTACAGTGACTTCTAAAAGTGGAAACGTGTATAACAAAAGTTTCGTACTTTTATGTTTGTGGGTGTTCATTTAATACCTAATGGAATGGAATTGTGGATAGCCGGAAAAAAGGAAAACGAATTTTTTCGAACACACTAGGGCTCTTGAAATTGTTCGAATTTAAATTTTATGGGAAAACGCAATCAAAATTTTATCAATTTATATGTATTATATTTATCAAGCTTCAAAACGATTTTTTTCGAACACACTAGGGCTCTTGAAATTGTTCGAATTTAAATTTTGTGGAAAACGCAATCAAAATTTTATCAATTTATATGTATTCTATTTATCAAGCTCAAAAACGTAAATTTTAAGTTACATTTCTATATTATTAAACATGCGATTTGTCAAACAAAAAATGTGAATTTATAAACTGCTCCACTGCTTAGTAACTAAAATATTTTTTATATATACGTGGTTTTGTACTTTAAACGACGATATGTTTTGTAGATTATGCAAACCCAAAAATAATATAGTTTAAAAACAAAAAACTTGCTACGTAACTTGTGAATGGAAATCGCTGCATCTTTTATGCGCATCATTATTACATAGATACATCCCAAGCTAATAAAAGCGAGGTAAAAATGGACCACCGTATATATTTTCAAGCCAAACATGCATATCGTGGCTTGGCGCGCAATACCTCGTATCCGCCAAATGTAATACTACGTATAAAGTGGCATAGAAACAAATATATTTTGGTTACCCTGTCTCAATGCTTTCCTGCTTCACAAATTTAATAGTGCATAATTATAGTAGAAGCTCATATTTAGTAGGTTTAGGTAGGAAACCATTCAAAAGTTTTGCAGAAAATAAGTTTCTTCGCTCTCTTTTGTGAAATTTTCGGACTACGAGACAGGTACGTGGTATTGCATTTGGTGGATACGAGGTATTGCGCCCCAAGCGACGATATAATTCAGAAATAAAATTGGGAAATTTTCACAAATAAGAGTGTGACTCTCCTATTTTTTTTTTATTTGGTGCGTTGATTGCTCATGTTTGAGTTTATAACGAACTGGTAGTATTTGGAGACCAGGATCGAATGCATCCCGTTACAAGTATGTGCTTACAGTGGAAAAGAAGTAATGAAGAGTCAAAGCGACGTGTAGATAACATAACATTTTTTTGAAATTCTGATGCTCCTGGCTTTTATAGTATACTGTGGCTGGGGCGTATCTCAGTGTAGCCACCCTGTAGGGAAAACACGAACTAGTGAACCAAATTTCTAGTTCACTACTAGTTCTTTTTCGCCAAAAACGAACCAGTCCGATAGTAACTAGTCACGCACCAGTCCAAAAGCAGCGAAATGTGGTACTTTCACTAAACTATTTTATTTCAAATTTTAAACGCAGGGAAGGTAATCATTATGAGAAAAATAATTTAAATCAGCATTTAATCATTATTTTATGAATTATTATTGAGTTTTATTTTTTCGCTCAATCGGAAATAATTATTATTTGATTTTTATTTTTGGGATTACAAATAATGAATATTTTATGATTTTTATTTTTTCGCGCAGAGATTATCATTAATTTTGAGTTTTATTTTTAAAGCTTAAAAATAATGATAATTTATAAAATTGAAAAGGCCATACATACGCAACCTACTGAAATTTTGACCTTAAAAGTTTGGGTCTTATTCCTCTTATAAGGGTGCGGCTACCTCTCAAAAGGATACGTCGGTAATCACGCTGGTATAGTTTTTGAGTTGCTTAATAATTATTATACTTAGTGATTCCATAAACAAAGGCCAAGATCCTGAAGGACAATTGAGAAAGGCAATGCAGTTGCAGAAAAAGAGGCATTTAAAAAAAAAGTGTCAAAATAATTACCACTTTCTCACTAAATTTATTTAAAAATGCAAGCCACCAGAGCTACCTTTTTTTTAAGAAAAGACAAATTAAGTTTTTTTATGCAATCCACCACAGCTACCTTAATACAGTCAGTCAATAAAGTTTAGGTACAACGAATTTTTTACAATACGGGCAACTATTTTTTTAATATTTTAGTTTTCGGTAATTTTTTATAAAAATATGGTCAATTCTACAACAAAATCCCCAAAAATCAGAGTTCCAAACCTTGTGCAAAATTTAAGAAAATTCTGCAAAATTTCATTAAAATAATTCACTTTCTATTTACGCTCTCTAGAAAAAGTTTTTTAGCCCATTCAATTTTAGTATAATGAAGTGCAAGTGTGAGGAAGCCAGGACTTACCAAACAACAAAAAAAAAATTGCTAAATATCAATGGTAAGTCCTAACTACCTCAAACTTGCACTTTGTTATACTAAAATTGAATGGGCTAATAACTGAGTACCTAACTTTTTTCTAAAGAGTGTAAATTGCAATACTTGGATGGAAATTCGCAGAGTTTTCTTTAATTTTGCATAAGGTTTGGAACTCTGATTTTTGGGGTTTTTGGTGTAGAATTAACCATATTTTTATAAAAAATTAGGGAAAAATAAAATATTTAAAAAATAGTTGCCGGTATTGTAAAAACTTCACTGTACCTAAACTTTATTGACTGACTGTATATCTTATTTAAGTTAAGTACGACAAAAACTTTCGAAGTACTTCATATACATATAAGCTTAAAAAGAACTGAATTTACTTCAATATGTTTAAATTTAGACAAGTAAGACAAAGTGAACTAATATTCTTACTTTTAAGCAGAACGGTTTTTTGTTTTGTTTTACTTACTACTTAAGTTTAATACTACTATTACTACTAATGTGGTTTATAAATTTTTAATAAATGCGTTTAAACATTTGTGATTGTATTGTCCTTCCTTCAACCGATCGTATTTAATATAGAAGGGAAATGTTTCGACAAGCCTGATTAGAAATGTAGATCTAAGGTGACGAAATTATAACAGGTTGGAACTATAAAAAATGGATGCAGATCGAACTGGTTTGGAACTAAAGAAAAGGGGATGCAGAACGAACTAGATCTCATCTGTAGAATTTGGAACTGGTTCGGAACTATAGAAAAAGGGATACAAAACGAACTAGATCTTATCTGTCGAATTTAGAACTGGTTCGGAACTAGAGCCAAAGGGATGCAACGGGGGACAATTGACACTTCCTAGGACATCGCAGTGTTAAATTCGCCAGTCGCTAGCATGCAAAAGAGAATTAACGCGCACTACTCATGGTTCCAAACGCACTAGAACCGAACCAGTTCCGCACTAGTTCGTTTCCCTACAGGGCACTAACACATTTTTTTCCTACCAAAATGAACCAAAACCTACCAATTTTTTTTTAAGTTTTTAATATTTTGTTTTTAATGTCAAATTTATTAAAAATGTAGACAACATAACATTTAGAAAAACTAAAACACAGATAGTACAATAAAAACAAATTAACTACATATAACAATTCATTTTACTGTACAGACTTACACAAATGTTTGTCTCTTTACACATACATATGTATTGTTATTATTATTATTATTATTTTTATTATTATTACGTCGGGGATACACGCGCTGCAACCTTAGAAGATCTATTGTTACGGTGACCATCCGTCCTTTATTTTAAAGGACAGTCCTTTATTTTAACCCCCTGTCCTTTATAATTTTTGTCAAAATAAAGGACACCATTTGCCCTTTATTTCTTAAACTGTCCTTTAAATTAGCTTTGGATTTTGCAGAGGTCAATTTTTAAACATAGAATATGAAAAAATAAAAATGTCCATAATGAAACAGAATGAAAACCTTCGTCAGTTTGTTTCGCACCCCACTTAAGGGTCACGAATCCTTGATAATACTGAAAAGGGGAAATTTATGTAATTGAAAAAAAAATGTTACTAATATTTAGACATTTTCCCAGAAAAATTAATATACTTTGAGTAAAAATCATTGTTGACAAAATCACAGGGAAAGTTGTGCCCAGGATCGTGTTGCACGCCAAGTTTTCAGATCCNTGTTACTAATATTTAGACATTTTCCCAGAAAAATTAATATACTTTGAGTAAAAATCATTGTTGACAAAATCACAGGGAAAGTTGTGCCCAGGATCGTGTTGCACGCCAAGTTTTCAGATCCACTGAAAAATAACAATAAACCTCCGCTCAATTATGATAAACGCATTGTGGCAGCAAAGGATGGCGAAGTCCTTTATAAGGATTTGGTTTAATTTTTCGGAATCGGTCAAAATTCGGTTACAGCGCCTTTCGAGAAGAGCAACTTGTACAATTTAATAATATAATTAACTGGCAAATATTTGATATAAAGTACCATCATACAAGTTGTATCCGTATTTTAAAATCAATGGGAAAAATGTCCTTTATTATTATTATGTTCGTTAATATGGTCACCGTATCTATTGTGCTTAAAATTTTGGATGGAGAAGGCAATCGTTCCCCAATGTCTATCAGTCTGATATTTATGATACGTGGCCAGTCACATAGAATATGCTCTGGGGTTTCCTCCACCAGCTCACAAAAGGCTAGGGACCATGCAAGTGCATTTGGGCTCCACGCTTTGCGAGACAGTCAGATTTCGTTTCCTTCAAACCCTTCGTGTCCCGGAACCCACGTTACGTTATTGTGAGCTTCCAAGTGGTTCAAAAAAGTTTTACAAATTTCCACAAGCCTGCTGCCATTTTAAAATAGTCCAAGGCCTTTAACCTGCCTGACTATCCGATATAATATTTAATTTGGGCCCATTTGTCCTTCTACACAGACTTCGACTTCGAAGACTTTCGCCTGGAATATTGTTAGGTATGTGGAATTTGGCAGACTTTCTGGAATTTTGGGACAAATATGCCTGCCCCAGTACTCTCGTCGCCCATTTGTGATCCGTTGGTATACCATGCTTGGGACCTTTCGTCAATCATAGTTATTATCACTTCACAGCAGTCCCTTTCAGGAGTTCTAACCTTGTAGGGTTTGTAGAAGCATAACTCGGG